AAACTGCTTATATATACATATATATATATATATAAATTTGTACATATAGCCGTAATTCGTATTCTTGTGGTTGAGCTATTAACTTGTCTGACAAATTTCACAGTTACATCGCAAACGCTTTACAAAGGTTTGAGGTGGCATTATGTACTGGGTACCACATATGATGCAGCCGAACTGCCACCTCGATTGATGATGAAACGTAAATAATCTAATTTTCAGGCTAGGCGGACAAACGAACATGATAACGGTAAGCATGAAATTGGAGCGAGTTTGGTTCTAGAGCAGAAGATTCGAAACTGCAGAGAAGAAACGGAGGAAACAGCTTTGAAAGAACAACTTTCTTTTATTCCTGACACATCGTTTTTTTCACTTCATTGGTGTGATTTGTGCTTCGCTTCTTCAGTACACGCTTAATTTATTTCACTCTCTTTCACTCTGTCACGCTTAGGACATTTTGGGGATAAAACAAGTGGAGCTGAACAAACCCATTACAGTGTAGAATGAAAAAGTGTGCAATCCATTTTGACACTACGGCAACCAACGAAGCCTGTATAAGTGCTGGTTAGTGATGTTTCGATTGGTACGTAGTGTTAGTTAGTTACGTGAGGTTCCACCGGAATGGCAACTGAGTGATGCGTGCGTCTCTTTGCATTGTTGTTCAGACCAAATGATCTTGATAAAATAAACATTTTACCAATGCACATATAACACCTGGGTAAAAGAGCTTGCTAGAGAAATAATAATGATACATATTTATCTAATTTTGCCTTGCTGTAAAATATTAAGGGCTGCAACATTACATGCTCAGAAACTACGTTATAACGCATACGGTTTGTTTGGGTTTTTCAAAACGAGGGAAGATATTGGAAAATGCGAATTCTCAGGGGTGCGACATAAGAGTAGAGTGAGAGAGAGAGAGAGTGAGTGTGTATAAAATGAAAATGCATGGTTTAAGACCCGATTTGACGTAACATTCAAAGAAATATAATTCAGCATGTTTTGTATAGGCAAAATAAGAAACGCCCGGAACAGCTACATTGTCGTTCAGTGGATAGTATGTTTGCGTTCAACCTCTAAGGTCGTTGATTTGATCCCCAATTGGATCGATAAATTTTCACTGCTGAAGGAAACCAATCAGATCGAAATAGCTGAATAGTGAGTACCGTCGTACTGTTTGTTGTATCACGTGTGTCTCATTTGCTCTGAACATTTCAAAATCCACTATATAGTTGAATCAAATACCGCATTTCACATATTAACATATAAAACATTTATTATTACTAAATAAAGAATATTTGGAGTCCTCCAAATAGCCCGGAGTCTATATAAATCGAACATACTTGATGTTTGATCGAATTTGGTTTTTTTAATCTGTTCAGTCGATTAAATTTCACTAAATTATTCTCTATAATATTTCGGTTATGACAGTGTTATTTACATGGATTTCTGATAAACGTCTTCGGTTAGCCTCCTTTGCTTTCAGAACACACAAAACATGACTTTGAATAGTGTACATGTGTTCTGCTCAACCGCGGGCTGTTCGACGAAGCTAGAATCGGTTCCATAGCATAAAGTTCCTTAGAGCGAGTCGGAGTGAATTACAACTGCCGGTACACATTTGGATAATCTGGTCAAACATGTCTGATTTCCAAATTACAAGAAAACGAGATAATCAATTCCCCGCATTATTCAAGTAATTCCTATGGTTACTGACATCGTCGGTCTGTTTCAAGTTTAGAACAATGTAGCGCAGTCCACTGTGTTCTATTTGTTTGGTTGTGCACATGTTGCCCTATTTGTATTATTTGTATCACGTCAGTCCAAAGGAGCATTCAGGGTTAATCGGCGCATATGTTGACTATTTTTCCGGTATTTGATTTTTAACGATTTCGGAGATTACACCTAGCAAATGTTTCAATTCAAGATTAAACAAAGCTTTGATTTTTAATCAATAATCAAAAATTTCAGCTGCGAGCCCTTAAATACTTTAAAGGTTCTAGATGAGAACGAAATGATCGTATGCAACTAATTATGCCAAAAAATAGGTAGATAAATATTACGCAGCCCTATGTGCTATTCTTACTTGTTTTGAGTATATTTCTGACGGTCTACTAAAACGGATTATTACCTTCCGTGATCATTGCTCTGAGCTGTATAAACAAAATAAAACGTTCAATTTCGCCTGTTTTGCAAACATTTCATCACCAGCCGAGGTGATATCATCAGTGCTTGTGAAGTGGCAGCGTTCTGTGTGTCGATAATTCTCACTGACTTGAAGTCAAACTTATCTTCTTCTTATCTTCATGGAGGGAAATCAACGAAAATGGATCATGTCCTCTGACTGCCGATTGGTGGTCACGGATACTTGTTGATAAATTTCTTCTAGTTTGACCCTGATAAACCCAGTCAAAACACGCCAGGGAGAATTTCTCCAGGCTTCGCATTTTCCAATCAACTCAATCAACAGGCGCATCGAGCTGGATCACGTGTACACGCCAATGCGACTCAAGGATCAAATGACGCAACAACAAAAGATCACACCATGACCTGAGAACGAAGCAAAACCGCAATGAGGACGAAAGGACAACTGACCCTCACCGCCTCGCACCAGTTTAACGGCGAACCGAATCGAACAAAGGACAAGAATAGTCGGTGGAAAAGAACACGTATATAAACGAAAGGGATACAAGCCAAACGCTGCAGCTTCACAAGCACTGATGATGTCACCTCAGCTGGTGATGAAACGTTTGCAAACAAATTGCCCAGCTCTTGGAAATATTGGTCCGATTGGTGCAGTTTTCATGCCTTATAAATCCCGTGTGTATAGACTTTTACGATGCTCAGCAAGTGAAAATCAGATGCAAGATGCTTTTGGAGGGCTTTAGCGCAGAATACAACGAAGCAAAATTGTGACCTTTCCAAAATCAACTTATCCAACCCTTCAGACATGTAAATGTGCACACTGATGATTCTGTTGAGGTTTAACATAGATAGTTTTCGATCGTTTTGCAAACGGTAAACAGTTGTTTAGCCAATGTGGATATTTTTCAAAATGAAGTGGAATTTTACCCCCATCGGGACTGGAAACACAAACTTTATGCTATGAAATTAAGACCCTGGAGGCTAAGGCTGAGATGCGCGCTAGGTACAATGTCTGCATCATGCTCCCACAGATGGGTTGGGCTATATCGCTTCTGATCAAGTGCCCGGGGTGGGAGGCGCGGGGGGGGGGGCGTTAGGGGAAAGAATGTAAGCGCGTTCGATCCCCAGGTGTTGATGAGACCCAACCAGGTCGAAGCAGCTGTCCAGTGATTCCTAGCTTTTCGGATCACGTTTCATCTGCTCTTCACACAACGAGATTTACCTTATTAATATTGCTGCCAATTTTCTTTTCAGAATCTATTGATTTATCAGGAAATCTGACAGTTTAGGCAACTGAGCTTTCAAAGTTCCTTTTCACAATTCAAACTAAATGGATTCTCGAAGTGGGTTCATTCAGTGGACAGATACGATCGCGAATCTAGCTTCACCCAAAATTGCAGTTACCCAGTTGCTGACTATTGGTTACCACGTCGAATTTCCTTTTTTTTCAAGTCAACCCAAAGCTGCCTAATTTTCATCCAGGCGCCTATCACCAACCCGATTTGGATTGGCCGGAACTAGCTTCCGGAATGCAGATGTGAACCTTGTACAGACAATAAAACGATGTAACGCACTACCATAAGTATAATGATTTTCATATATATATATATATATTAACCAGTCACAAGTGGGCTCGGACAGCGAAAATCACAACGATGAAAAGTTTGTACGTTCCAGTTAGAAACAATGAAAATTGCACATGTTTTTGTTTTTGTTTAAGTCAGTGGACCAGGAAGGGGTAAAGCAAAAACAGAATGAAACGCGCAAAAAAGACTCGGAGCAATTCGGTCAATCGGAAGATAGATAGATGATGCACTTGAAATGACCGAATAAATCGATACACGAGTGGGAGTTTAGACATTCACTGGAAGCCGCGATCCGGTGTATTTCAGTTTTATAAACAGCGCGTAACACGTTGTACACAACCTGAACTGCAATTGCGATTTCGGCTATGCAGGATAGTTGGGCTCACTGGACGGGGATACATATATGTGCGAGGAGCCGGTGAATGCCGATTCGTGGCCCCTGCACTCACACACGCGCACGCACACTCACACACGCAAATAGACATGAATACAAACTTGAGTTTTTTATTGATTACCGTGAGGAATTGATAGAAATGCTTTGGATGGGAACGAATACATTACGGTTACGAGGATCGGATCAAGGGGTCCTCGATTATCAAAAACCGGATTCATAGTCTGAACAGAGAGAGAGAGAGAGAGAAAGGGTCATGGTGAAGTGTTGCCAATGGTGATCACATTATGTTAG